TTTACATTGTAATTTGTGGCAAAAAGTTAGTTTTCAAAATTTTATCAATCTTCAATAAACAAGACGCGTACTATTAATAAATCGGCACAGAGTATATCAACTTTGCAAACAACAAATCTAATGGCATATTTTAGAAACAGATCGAAGAGAAAATATAAAAAACATTGACGGCGACTGTCGGTTTGATATCAAAATATGTTCGAGAGAGAATACCCAACTTCAAACTTTAAAGTATACGATTTATTTGTTTCTTGACTTGACTGTTGATAAAATGCTACAGTGTTTTCGTAATTTAAAAGCAAACAGAAGTATAAAATAGAATTTAGCGGGCGCTTCGATCTATGTATCGTAAAATCCCACTCCTGGTATTAGAAATTTAACGTTTTCTTGTGGAAACATGTAATTTGACACTTTGCAACTCCCCCTTGGGTGATCGCTAGATAGTATACTTCAAAATAAGGTTTCCGTTTTTATAACGTAGAAAAAACTATCCTAACGCAAAACTAAACCCGAACCCTAATACTCACCCTAACCCCAACCTAACCCTAACCTAAACCCTAACCTAACCCTAACTTATTTTAATTATTTTAAAAATTGATATAAAAATGGAAACCTTATTTTGAAGTATACTATCTAGCAATTGCCCTCCCCCTTGGGCAATTGGGCAATTAATTTTTGTAGAGTCACATGACCAGACAACACCAGGGTCTTTCCCAAAAAGACCCTGGGTACGAGGATGCATCATACCCTGGGCTTTTATTTGAGTTCAAATTGTTCATTTCATTTTGTACCTCAAATTCTGTTATCGGATCAAGAAACATGCTGTTTAGATAATTATGAGTCAGATATTTGCTAAAATTTGTATTGGACGTATTTGTAATTTTCTTCACTAGGTTAGGTCCTATATTGACAAAGTAGTTATTAAATTTATTTGCAATTTAAAACTGATCTTTAATAGTATTTGTTGTGTTCATATCAGTAAATTCTTTAATTGGAAATTCTTTTTTTGTATTTCTACTTAGTATCTCATTTATTGTTTTCCACATCATCTTTGAATCATGTTTATATGTACATAATTAGTTCTAGCTTGTTCATAATATTTCTTTTTGGACAATCTAATTACATGATTTAATCGATTTTTATATTTTTTGTACAAATTCTCATGTATTTTATTAGGATCTGATAACTATTTACTGTATAATTTATTTTTCCTTTTGATTGACTTTAAAACACACTTTGTCATCCAGGGGCTTTTGTGCTTGTTAATCTTCTTATTTACTTTCATTCTTTTAATTGGAAAATGTTTATCATAACTAGCTGTGAATAATGTGGAAAATTGGTTAAAGGACTCGTTTGGGTTATTGCATGAAATCGTTCCTTCCCAACATACATTTTTAATTTCATCTGTAAAAAGCCTAGAATTGTTTTTATTATATATCCTTTTTGTATAGTATTTATCTCCTGTGTCTTCATTAGGCCTTAGGGTATCCAAAAAAAGTTTGTGAATTATTGGTAGATGGTCTGAAATATCACTAAAAAGAATTCCATTTATGCTTGAATCAATGTTGTCAATGTTATTAGTAAAAATATTGTCTATAAGTGTAGCAGTATGGGATGTTATTTGAGTTGGTTTTGTTATGAGTGGGTAAAAAGAAGATCTAAAAAGTTGTTCTGTAAATTTATTGGCAAAATCACAAGATTCCGATTTAAGTAAATCAATATTAAAATCTCCCATGGGATAACAGATCTTATTCTCTTTATCTACTTTGCTGAAAATTTCATTTGTAGCATCTTGAAATACTTCAATCTTATTATTTGGTGGCTGATAAATTACTCCGACGATAATATTTTTCCCAATTTCAGTGGCTATCTCTATAAAAGTAGATTCAATGGTGTCTTCTATGTTAACATTAAGGTATTTGCATAATTTATGTTGTAATTTTTCGGCAACGTTTATACCACTAAGCTAAACTTAATATATCTGGAGATCGTGCTCCAATACCTTGTCAGTAAAAAATGTGTGACCAAAAACATGGCGGATTTTGGCCAAATTTATGTCATTTTGACGTCACAATCGACCTAAATTTATGGTGAACACCACTGACCTTAAATACTAAAGTGAAGACTATTTGCTTAAAGCAGGAGGTATATTCAAAATTTTGGTCGGAAATTTTCTTATATTAAAGCGAGACATTTGCAACCATGCCAACTTTTTGTTCAATTCCTGGTTGCCAAAAATGTACTGAAAGAAAAGACCTGTCCTCACATGGGTAAGGCTCGTATAATCTCGTTTTTTGTAATAATTTAACGCATGCTGTATTGAATGCGTAAATTTGTGAATTCATGAAATTTATTGGCAAGCAACGTACAATACAATTTATGTTAGTGAATCCTTGTATTTGACATTTTGTAACTTGGCTATTTATTGGTGTACTACAGGGCAAAAGCAGAACAATATTTAAAAATGTTGACCGGCTTGTGGAGCTGTTATCGAGCAAGTATTTATTTTCATGCAAGTTCATGGATGTGATGATGGCGTGTCACATATAGCGCTAACCTTATCACTGACCTTATTGCAGACAGTACAGTACAGAAATGCCAGGCAGCAAGCTGTGCAAGGCAGCTGGTCTAAAATCCTATCAATATCCTAACAGATAATTTGTTTTATAATGCTATTTTAAAAAATTTCAAATGAGAATTTTAACAATATGATAATGATACGACTAGCTTTAAATGTACAAAGCCTTTCACTCATTGTATTGTCTTTATTGTGGACTAAACCATGTGTTGTTTAGTGTGGCATTGTTTATATTGTAAGTTATATGTATCGTATTGAACAGTGTAACTAGACACTAAAAACAATTGTTCATTTACTTGAAAGCTTTCCAGATGAGAAGAGATTCCCTGAATTGCACAGCATATGGGTGAAGAATATAAGCAAACTTATGCCAGTGAAGTTTGTTCCTATGAAAAATAGTCTTTGTGTTCGAAGCATTTTAGTGCTGATATGTACAGCCAGAGACCAGTGTTAAAGCCATATGCTGTACCAACAATCTTTAATTATTGCTTTGGTCAGGTTGGTTGTGATATTTACAGTTTATTATGAGTGTATCAGTACAATTAATGGTCATACTGTACATGAGGGGTAATTAATACTGAATTTTAACATTATTCAATAATTAATGCCTGACATACTGTAACTGCCAAACTTATAGGGATGTAAAGATGTTGTCATGCAACCTCTTTTGCATGAGCCTTTTGATATTGGATAATTGGACAAACCTTAATTTTCATACAATCTATGAATCTAATATATATACAATATATATTAGATTATCTACAATATATATATAATTATTATATATCTACAATATATATTGTGTTCTTACCTCTGACACCAGCTCAGTGTACACAGCCAAAAACACATCAGGTTGTTACAGTATTGATGACTGAACATTATTGCAACAATGCGGTTATCATGGTTGAACAACATTGATGAATCAGCAGTACTGTTCATTGTTGTTTCAACAACGCTGTTCAGTATTGACAAACCAACAATAGTTGTTCAAACTTGTTTCAACAGGTAAAAATTGGAATGATGGAACAACCTTGTTAATTGCTGTTTGAACATTATTGTTCAGCATTGTTTATTGAAAATGTTAGAACAATATTGTTCTGTCAACCATGAACAATGCTGATGGGCCAACAGATTGTTTTGCGTTGTTTGAACAAGTATGAACAAGTATGAACAATGTTGTTGAACTTGCACACGTCACATGTTTGTGTATAGCCCTAAGGTTTTTTAAAGGACAAACAAGGATACCTTAGGCGTTATGAGGATAAATTAAATTACATTCAGTTTCAACCATACCACATGTTTCAATTGTTTGCCTTTGCATTTTTCGAACGTTGAGTGAACTTTGTTTCAAGAAAACTGACTATTTGTAACAACTGATATTCACAGATGCATTCCCTACTTGGAACTAATGTTGTTTCTGAAGCTGATAACAAATGATCAATGAAACCAAATGGGATATCACCGCAAAAATGTTGTATTTACAGGTAATGTTGATCAGACTATTAAATATACTTGATCAGACTGCTGGTTTTAATACTTCAAGTGCAAGCTGTTCAAGGTGCTCTAACTAGATTACCACGTATAAAGTGTTATAAAAGGTACCATTTTATGTTTATATATTTAATATTTTCATTTTATCTTCAAAATTTATAGTAAAACTAATGATAGATGGATAATATTTTCAATATTATTTAACATTATTAATGAAAATATAAAGTATATCTTTAAAAAGTTAACAAAGGTACATTCCATTCAAATTCCACCATTTTGTAGAGCAGAGAAAGTTTGCACAACCTTTTGCGATTGATCTTATAGTTAATAAACAGCCCACCCCCCTCTCACTTAAAGTTATGTCTTTGAATTTCACACTCAGTATGGGCCAGTTTGGATGGTCCAAACTCCTTAAGTAACTAAGGTCACACAGTGTTGCATAATTGTTTCTCATCCAGGACTGTCTCCAAAAGTTTATGCAGGCAAGTAGTCATAAACCATTATTCCTTCATGGAGTTTTGTTTTTCATGCATGCTCATACAAAATAATGTGTATTAAATGTGTTGCAATAAACTAAAAAGTATCTAATATAGGAAAGATGTGGTATTTTGCAAATAAATTTGTCTTGTATTATATTATAATGGTCATAATAACCATCAATGTGACTGTCTAGAAAGCTATGTGGGTTAGGGACGATTAACTCATATGCAACAAATAGTGGCCTATTTATAAGATCACGTTCTTCTCTCAAACATATAAATTTCGACAAAATATGAAATTTTCATAGTTTTAGTGATAAATTTGCTTTTTGAAGGCCAATATATATATGTAACTTAGGCATCTCTAAAAAGGTGCATGTGGATATTGAAACAGAATGTGCCAAAGAGACCATCATAAAATAAAAACATTTACAAAGGACTTTAAAAACTGTTTATTGCTCTTCCGCGAGGATGATGTCCCAGTCTATCTGGGTGGGTCCTCTGGCTCCATATTTGTCCTCGGACCATTTATAAAACGAGAGACAGAACTTCTCGTCTTTCTCGCAGTGGTGTATGCCAACAGCTGTAACATATGTTTTCTGAAAAGTAGATAATGAAACAGTATTAAGTATTGAAGGTCAAACTAATTTTTCTTCTTTATCACAATAGATTTTAAACCTTTTGGTAACTATGTTTATTGGGTAATCATTGGAAAGTATCAGTATCAATGTCTGTCAATTGTCAGGTCCTTACCACAAGAGCAATGTTTCGTTGAACAGTGGTTTCCAGTACCACATTAAATTAGACCCCGAGAAGGCCACAGATCTTGGCTGCCAGTTCTCTTGTGGATGCTTGTCATAAAGAAGACCAAGTTCCTACTGCCAGAATCTAAAAGATGTCACCAGAAACGAGGTTTACATTAAATGAACAGTAGAATTTATGTTAACAATGATTTTACTTAACGATAAGCTAAATTAAAACATTTGATAGCATGCTTTACCCTTCTCCTTTCCTCTGCTCTCCAGTAGGTGAACTTCGCCTTCTCAAAACGCTCGGCATGAAGGAGTTCTTGAACTGTGAAACCATATGGGGAATTGGAAAATTCTTGACGGAGTTGTTCCTAAATAGAAGTAACCCAATCAGAAATTGCTAGCAAATGCTGATATGTTAGAATATAAAATTTAATTATATTAATTTAATGAATGCTTTATATGACACTAACAGTTTTGCTTTCATTTGGCTTTTGGAACCGTCCAAGTTGTATATATGCTTTAGCACATATTTTGGTCACATTTGCCTGAAATAAAAGACAGAGTTTAAAAATCTACATATTTATCTATTCAATGATAAACTATTGTAATGTACTATTGACAATGAACTAACAGCATGGGAAGACTTTGCCAATTCAAAGTCTTTCGGGTCGAGCAGTTTGGTTATTCTAACCAAAGTCTTTTCCATCTGACTCTGTTTCACTTTTATAGACTTCATGAGGTCTTTCAGCTCTCTAAGTTCTTGAAGCACTGCATTTTCCTCAGATGGCTCCGCCTCTGGTTCATCTGAAAATATAAGTTTAATTCGTTTTCATATAAATCCTGAGTGTTATTAGAACATTATACCCATTTGTATTTATTTTATTTGTATAAATTCTGAATGTTATTAGAATATTATGCCTATTTTTTTATTGTTTTATTTATATTGTTATTTATATCATTATATAAACATTCCCGGCCGTACGCAAATTTGTGTTTTAAAAGTCAAAACTACCGAGTCTTGGAAGCTCATTTTGCTTGCAGACGGAGTTTTATAATTATTTATTAGAATTATATGTTAAAAAACACTTTACCTTCAAAAGGGTTTTGAGGGAAATCCTGTCTTCGGTGGCCGGGCCTATTGCTGTGTCGAGTGCTGCCTTGTGCCTCGCCGAAAAAGACATCGTTAATAAACTCCGTATTTCTATTTTAAAAATTAATTCCTTATCGAATACAAAGAATATAAAAAACATGGTAAACACTTTTAAAAAAAATAAAGAGTACTTTACATGTTTGGCATCCCAAATGCTCTTCCGACAGGTCCAGACATTTCGATAAAAAAATTTTCACCTTTAAAAGTTTTCAGATTAAATGCCCAAAACATTGAAAACAAAGAGAGCCGGGAAACCGTATTAACCAATGAGAGGAAAGCATTTGTAAACACTGTCCTTTGATAACCAATCAAAATCCGCTAAAGGGAGAACCATCATAATGTGTGGAGAGTGCGATTTCAAAGAGGGATGTTTTTCATTTAAAAAA